CCGTGACATACCCCTGCAAAAATCAAGCGGGGTGGCCATTTTGGTGTCCTTACAGGAATGTGGTTTTTTTCAGCCTAGAACCGTGCACAGGGAGACTAATTCTGAAAAGCCACAGGTCAAATTAGGTTTGCGTTCCACTTCGTCGAACGCAATAATGGTTCCACACTTACAAGATCAGTGCTCTTTGCCTTGGCGTGCAGTTAGTTGTGGCGCAGCGCGAAAATTGGCGCACGAAGAAATGGGGAGTAACAGGGCGCGGGGAGACCTCTTTCCTGTTTCGCTCCACCGTTTTTTGCGCTGCGCCCCAATTAACTGAACACCTGGAAGAGGCTATGCCCTTACCACCTTATTTTCAATTTAACTTGGTCAGATCTAACTACTTATTTACTTAATCCTAGAAAAACAAACAGACAAGTAAAGGAAGAACGCGAGTGAATTAATGATTTAATACAAATCAGTCACAAATATCGGCTCAAATTTTCACACCACTCAGAAATACTGGCAAAATTTATGACCGCAAAACACCAAAATCACTGATTTCACTGTCATGCAAAAAGTCTCTCGACCATCCCCGTTACCCTTTTGTTCTCGTAAGACTTCGCAGTAAATAACTAAACCCGAAAAAAATACCACACAATTGAAACTTGAAATAGCCAGAAAAGAAAATGACAGAATTACAACGGCGACTTTTGTCCACAGTCTATTGTTTATCGATCACTGACAAGTAACATCACTGATCTATGGAGTCCTTCTGTCAGATAAGTTCCGTCAATTTACAAACCCATCAAGTCTATAACAAGCTCGCTGCGTTCAAAACCTGTAAGACAGGAGTTTTAAACAAGGCAAAGTGTCCTGATAGCAGACTACTGCATGGCCATCACTGTTGATTCCGATGCTTACAGGAGACTCATCCAAAACGATCTTTCCAACAAAGGCGCCATCGCAGGTATTAAAACAATGAACACAGTCCGTTCCTGGGTCTGCAATCAAGATATTTCCTGTGCCGTGATCAATCGCTATTCCTCGAGGACATTCCAGATCTTCACCAATTTCCCGCTGATACACGCCTTTGGCATCAAAAACTTTGACTACTCCATCATCTCGATCGCAAACGAAGAACTCTTTATTGTAGGACAATGCCTTTCTGGGACAAAGAAGATGTCCTTTTCCAAAAACAAGATCGCTGTTTTGTTGGGTAGATTGGATATCAATGACCGCAACACAGCTCTCATCCAGCGCTTCTGACGTAACAATGAGATGACGGCCATCATTTGAGGTGGAGACACTCGAGAAGTTCACTTTGGAAAACTGGGAATGGATGCTGTGGTACAGACTTGAATAGAACATCGGAGAAAACCTCCCATTCAGGCGGCGATAAGCCAAAAGACGGTTGTGAGAGCGATTCACGACAATAACACCATCAAGATATTGATCATGCAGAAAGGCAACGTCGTATAAATCGCCAAATTTCACGCCAAACGATCGAAGATAATTACCACTTTGTGTTAAAATGTGGACTCGATTGGACTCGTCATCAAGAACTGCCATTTCTCCCTTCTGGGTAGATAACGCGACCGTGTACGGGTTAAAGGATGTTTCGCCAATATCGTCAGCTGTGATGGTTTTCAAGACAGTGATTTTAGCCTTATGCTTTGTCGTTAAACATGCTTCGCTTTCCTTTCTCACCTTTCCGAACCACTCTTTCATCAGTCGCTGTTCAAGATCCTCGTTCGGAAAGAAATCCAGATCGAACGCGCGGGAACCTTTGAAGGGCTTCACCTCAAAATGGCAGCTTGCTTCCAGCATCCGGATGATAGCCTCTTTGGATTGAACCTTCTTGAAGTTGTTTGGTTCGCTGAGCAATTCCTCTGCTTGTTTCATAGACAGCTCTAACCTTTTCAGCAACTGGCTAATTTCATTAACGGGATCTCTATCGGCATATTTCTTCACAAAATCGTTTACCTCTGAAATCATAAGGTCTTCTTGTGACTTGATCAACTTTGTAATCGTCCTTGCCTTTTCTTTAATGGTGCGCTTCAAGGCTTCGCCTTTAACTTCAACTGCAGAACCTTGCCCAGGCTTCAAAGAGTTTCGCAGTGTCTCCATCTTTTCTTTGCTTCTTTCTAAAGCCCTCATAATTTCCTTTTCGGCTCGCGGGACAGAGGCTTTCTCCAGCAGTCGTTTGATCATAGTATTGGTTGGTATTGCAGATATTCCTTCAGGAGGAATAGCAACTTTTTCTCGGCAGATAGGGCAGTTGACATATTTGCGGCTAGTCGATCTCGTTTTAACGATGTCCTCTAAGCAGCTTTTGCAAATATTATGGGCACATTTTGGGAGACATTTGGGTTCCTTAAAATCCTCGAAGCAAACCGGACAGGACAATTCATCTAACAGTGAATCGTTAAACAGACAGGACGACATGACGAATATCTTCCCTTTGACTGATCAACAACACTGAACACGAAACACTAAACAAAAAATGCTAATGAGTGTTGCCTTAGTTTCTATACAAAATTCTCGCGCACTTTATCACATTTTTTGACATGCAGTTCTTTTACTTGATTGGTCAATTAGCAACCTTCATCGAGATCTAGCAGTAAAAGAGTAAAAATATTCGTTACAAATGAATTCGGCTAACGAGAAGGCGTTAGTTAACACATTCTTTTTTACAACATGACATTGTCAGTTAAGAGAGAAGTGACATCGATCCAAGTTGAAGGTCAACAGCAATTGAATGCGTGCAGGAATATAAGCTCCACACCTTGCAATGTTACACTAGAGCTTATCACCCAGCTATGCTCAAAATGCCACAGTGCAAATAACACGCTAAACGATCGATTGCAGCCACATTCTTTACATTTGCACAAAACGTTTTGCTGTTTGAACCTTTTCTGGCGATGAACTAATCAAAGCCATTTCCGAATGCTTATTACCTCTTTTTTAAAACGAGTCCTGGCACTCAACCTTTCTTATGGAAATGAGTTTGATTTCAAGACAACGAACATGCAAGAAAAACTCATTTCAATATGAAGGGTTGTGCACCAAGACTCATTCAGAAACAGTGGGAACAGTAACTTGGGAATGACTCATTAGAGACTGCAGCCGTACAAATGAAGAAAATTAAGCCTTTTGAAGAAGAATTGGACTTAATTAAGTTTGCAACAACGTTTAGAAACCAACAAAAGAAACCAATTGCTTAAATTGCTTAAATTTGA